GCTTATTTCGTTGGCTGTTGTCGTCACTGCTCTGAGATTTCCGAGGTGTTTGATGGGCCAGTCTCACTTCGAATTCCACTGTTCTTGCTCTCTCCAGTGACCTTACGTACTGTTGTACGTATTCAAGAGAGTCCTCATCCTCCTCCGCCATATCCGTGCTCTCCTCCTCCAACTCGTCCTCGGAATCCTCCTCAACCTTCTCAGACTGCTCCTCGTCTTCTTCCTTGGAGGACTGGTGGCGCTTGACCCTGATCTATTCCTTTTTTTTTCCCTTCCTGCATGTAGAGAGCAGTCCATGACATCCTCCCCTCCTTCCGGGTCAGTTGCCCTGTCCCTTGGGAGGGAGATTTCCTTGATTGGTGTTGTTCCGTCAGCTGGTAGGGTCGTGCTCTCACCCTGGCCTGTGCTTAATTGCTTGGCGTGCTCGTTCCCGTCCATTTCCATATCAGCCGGTAGGGCGCTAGCCAATCCTACCGACTGTTGCTTCCTTTTCCCTGATACGCTAGCCTCTATTTCTCTTTCTGATTCTTCCTGTTTGCGCTTTAGAGATCCATCAATACGGAGGTTATCTTCTCCCCGGGTTTGGGATGTTGTGGATTTGGGCGTCGAGCAAGCTGAGTCGGACTGCGACTCTTAGACTGTTCTGGCTCTTCGGTTTTCCAGGTAGGCCTTCTCTGCGTTTTGTCTAATTTCATGCATTTCCTTCATTGATTCCAGTCTTTGCTTTTCGTCTAGCAATCCTGTTTCGCATATTACCTGCTCCATGCGGAAACTTGTGTTCTTGTCCTCCATTCGTCTGGCTCCCACCGACCTCCATCTGCTATCGTAGGGAGGGTAAATATCTGGTTTGACCTTGGGTTCCCCTTGTAGGACCCAAATCCACTTGGGGTTTGCCAGGTTGTCATCGAAAATCCAACCTTTGAACTAAGCGTTGTTAATGTACCATACCCCGGGTTTGGCGTCACATTCCACCAGCGTTGATTGTTTGCGCACTATATTTCTTCCTTTTCCCCCATCTGTGGACAATACATGCCAAGGTTTCCCTTTTTTCTGCAACGGAAGCAGTAAGGGTTCATTTTGGTGGAGATGAAGATTCTGATGCGTTGGCCATTCTTCCGGAAGATCCAAGTGTCCGGGAACTTTGGTGTCGTGCCTGAAGATACCTCGAGGCATGCCACTCTCGAGTCGTGGTTGGGTGCCATGAAGTCTGGGTTGGCTGGTAGCCAGTCTATAATTGGATTGTTGGGGAATTCCTCTTGCAACCTTTTATGAACGAAGTTGTGCATTCCTTCAGACAGGTTGTCGAAATGCACCCATAAGTGGTTTCGGAGCATCGTTTGTCTGTGTCGGGAGGCTTCTGCTTGAGGTTCCCTCGGTGGTTTTCATCTCTGGATTGTAACTACCGAGCCTTTGCACTTCAGCGAACCGAGGGAGATGAGGAATTGTGCGTAGGAAGGATCAACGCACAGAATCATGACTGTGTACCTGCCCCTTTTGTGGTACGACACCTCCGGTTCCGCGCCAGGTATGTTCTCCATTTCCCTGAGTTTGTCCATCACCCATTTCCTCTTTTCATTGAGCGGTAAATCCCTGTTTTTGTTCGTGAAGTTAAAAAGCACAGCATGTTTTTCATAGACCTCATTCAGGGATTGTAGGTCCTGTGTTGGGTACTCCCACACTTCGACTTCGACTTCCTGGCCGTTTGCGTCCTTGATTGTTTCCTTTGTTTTGGTTATCTCTGTCTTGATCTCCGTTTTGCTCATCAGGAATTCTAACGCCCTTTGTCCCAGGGGGTTGTATGATGTGGTGGTTCGTTGTGTTCCCTGAGACGAAGCGTGGGTTGAGTCTGTTGGCGTGTGGGCTGGTGGTTCTTTTGTACCTGAAGTGGAATCTGTTTGCATTTGATCCTGTTGCATTAGTGCCTTCTTGGCCACTTGGAGGTAAGTGGACGCCATCCTCACACAATTCGGCACGGGGGGGATAGAATGTCTTACGAGGATGTAGGACTGGACTTGGATCAACTGGCGGGGTACAAGGTCTGATTGGAGTGGGTGAATTTTGGGTGGGGTGGTGGTGAGCGAAGAGGAGGGTGGAGGGGAGTGATTGGGAGGTGGAGAGTGCGGCGTGGCGAAGTAGGGGCAGTGTGGTTGGGGTAGGGTGGCGGGGGTGAGCAGAGTGAGTTTTTTTTTTTTTTTTTTGAAGGGTTGTAGAGGTGTCGGGGATTCAGCAGTGATCGGGGAGCCGGCGGGAGGCCGCACGCACCAGGTTTACGGAGCAGTTCGTTGATGCTTTGGGGAGGGCGAGGAGGGTGAGTTTTTCAACTAAATACGAAAAGTATTGAGGATGGGAGGGGTAATGAATTTCCTTTGCTGGAGGGAATTGCCCTCCTCGGAAGAAAATCACAAGTTTTAATGCTAAAAAACAATGAAAGGATATAGATTTATAAATAATAATTAATTGCAAGAATGAATGATCCAGAATAATAATAATTTGTTCTTGATGGCTTTAAATGCTTCAGTTCCGTCTGTTTTTGTCTACCTTGTCTAGTTCCCGTTTCGGAGTGCTTTGGAACTTCGCTGGACGATCGTGGGATTGAAAGACAGGAGAGATGGGAGATTGGGGGGGAGGGGGATGTGGGGGTGTGCTCTGGGCGGTCGGAGAGGGGGTTTGTTAGTATGGAGCGCGTGTTTGAGTGGGTGCTGCAGACAGGGGAGTGTTTGGCTGTCTAGCGGTGGTAGGGCTAGGGACGCTTTGGCGGGAATGCAGGGGGATGGGTGGGGGTAGATGGACTGGTTATATTCTCTCTCACTTTTGTTGGCGAAGTTTCAAGTGACTTTTGTCAGGACTGACATAGAAAGGGGATCTCTTACGGGAACACCGGGGCTGTCTATAGGATCCGTATGACTTAGTATAGGTAAGTTCTACTTCCACAATCCGGTCTGGGTTCTATGACTTGAACCAATGCTGCACAGGAGCTGCTTCTATCCAGCGTTACAGCGGATCGATGTGTAGATTCGATCGTATTTACTTCCTGACTAGGTCGTCTATAAAATCCGCATCTAATTCATCGCTATTCTCCCTTTTCGCTGTGTCTAAAGGTGTCCTCCTCTCTCGATCCGTGTTTGTCTCTTCTCCTGTCTTCGTGTCGTTCTCGCGCTCTCCCGCGCACCGTGGGGTGGGTATGATGGCCTTCCAATCTTACCGTAAGAGGCGAACGAGACCTTTCGAACCTTACAAGTGTGTGCTGAAGAAACAGCTAGCGCTGAGCCTCTCCCTTCATCCGCTTGTAATGATTCATTGTGTGTCCAGCTTCCGCGAAATGCTCTCCTTTGTTTGGTAAGGTTTTTCTCGCCTCTCTTCCCCTCCCTTTCTTTATTCCCTTTGTCCTTTCCTGTTCTTAGGTTGTCCGCATTCCCTTTCCTTCCCTAGCAGTCCTGTCCATTGCCCTCTCCTTCTCTCCCTTTTCCCCTTCTCTCTCCTGCACTTGTCTGTCCGAAGTCGGGCTTGGGGGGGCCATGCCCGGAGGCGTGGCGTCGTGAACTCGTCCCTCGCTTCCTGTCTCACCCGCGTCGAATTCGAAAACGAACCAGGAGGAAAGCGCGCGGATTCGCGCTCGTGGTGGTTTCCCGATTGCACGGAAAACCAAGGCAGTGCCGGGTCGCGGATTAGCGCTGCTTGGTAGCGCTCACCGGAACGGCGCTAGCGCTTCCACTGGTCGGGCGATGCCTGCACCCTTCTTCCCACAGTCTTCCAATCAAGTAACTCGTCGAAGTAACCGCAGCAGCGGCCCAGACGGTCAAACACCCAGTTGTCTTTGTCTCAATTGGACACGGTCTGAGAATGTTCTGAGTTCGTAATGTCTTCTTCTTCTTCTTTTTCCCTTCTTCTTCTTCAAGGGCCCCTTCTACTCTGGGGGGTATCGGTCCGGTTGCTTATCACCGGCAAGCATGAGTCAAGTTTACACAACTTTACAGCCATGAAGAGGAGAGAGTCCGAGAGACGAGAAAGCCTTACCCTTGTGGCATCAACAGTTCTAGCCTCTAGGTGTTTAGTACACTGTTTACCATTCAGCTCCCTGGAATGTACACACAACAACATCTCTCATCTTGTCGGTTGTTTTTTTTTTTCACCCTTGTTTTGTAATGCAAAGTCGCAAACATCTTTGCTTGCAACTTGGCTTTGCACAAAAAGAAAAAGAAAAAAGAAAAAAGACAGGTTTGAGACTTTACAACAAAAGAAAAAAAGGACAAGATGAAAGATGTTGTTGTGTATACATTCCGGGGAGCCGAATGGTAAACACCTAGAACTGCTGATCAAGAAATCAAGAACTGAAAAATTCTCAGACCCTGTCCAATTGAGACAAAGACAACTGAAATGTGCTGATGCAAGAGGAATGAACCGAGTGGGTGCAGTGCATCCCCGGGGATAACCTCACCAGAGACGAGTGGGGCCAACCTCTTCATAGTCAAGGCATACACTCTTCTCCCTCACGTGTATCTAGCATCTGTAACAGCATTCCAACAGCGGCTTGAGAGACCCTGTAGCCTCCAACAAGAGGTTCCACTCAAACTAAGAATCAACAGTGAACAACACCCTCTCACCATCTGGATGTGTGCATGTGCGATAGAGTGAATAAGGAGGGGGAGATCGAGGGTGGACGGATAGGGAAGGAGATGGTGGGTGTGCGTATGTGTGTGTGTGTGTGTGTGTGTGTGTGTGTGTGTGTGTGTGTGTGTGTG